AAATTAATTTTTTGTGTGTACAACGTAGTCCTGGATACACAAAAATTGAGTTTTTTCCCATTTCTCTGGATAACATTTTTCAAAAACACTTAACACGCCTATTTCTTTTGTATGGCATGCTGTTGTATGCTTTGGTCAATGCATGATTCATTAAATTTTAAAATTTTTGAAAAATTGAAAGACGGTCAAACATGTGGTGACTCTATTTCTGAGTAACCAAGGTTTTTTTCAATTGTGTTCGCTTACAAAAACCACCCAAAAACATTGCGAATTTAGATTTAAACTTTAGAAATTTAAAAATAACGAATCATAGACCTTTCATGCAATTTTACGTACTTATGGAATTGCATTAAAAGTAAAGGATTAGCATCTATCAATGATTAGCAAAAAGTAAATTTTCATATATGAAAATTGTATGACTAGCATTTTTAATCAATCCGGGTACAGAGCAGTGTGTCTGCGCTACATGATTTGGCATATGACCCATTTTAATCAATCAAATTGTTTTAATGTTCCGACCTTCGAAGAAAGTTTTGAATTGTTTATGCTTGATTTTTAGTGTTCATGATTTAATGTTTGCTTTGAAATTTAAAGTTTTCAAAATAATTTAAAAAAATTTGAAAACAATGATTTTTTTTAAAGTAATCTCCTCACACGCTATGTCAAATGCAAAATGATAAATCTCGTATATTGTTAAGTATTAAATAGACCAATTAGCATGCCTCAATCTAATTTGGAACTTGTTCTAAGACGGATCAATCTGCGCTCGCGCATTAATGGCCAAAATGATTATCCCAAACTGACATATTTCAAACCTCCAGAAGTTTACAAAAAAGATCGCTGGCATGTGTTTTTTTCTAAATTTGAGTTCAAGCCAGCCAATTTTTTGGGAAGATACGAAAGAATTCCGTCAAAGATGGCTAGTTAAAAAGTCGAACATCGTCTGGAAAAAAAGCACAAAAATTTTGTCCCTTCCTTCGAAAGTCAGAACAATGATAGTTAGTAACTGTGTTCGACCAGTTACGCTGTGTGCAATTACTTAAATAAATTTACTAACCAAGACAACAACTTAACTACTGAAGTTTTCAATGGAAGTAAAATTGTTGGCGTTGTTTGTAAATTTTTTCCAATATTTTACCACAATTCAACTGCCCGAAAACAATTTATCTTGATTATAACTAAATCCGAATAAAATTGACTCTCTAATACAAAGAAAAAAGTTCCTAAAGGGTGACTTCCTGATTGTTGCGACTGCTTTTTATTTTCTATGGAGTCGTAACAAAATTTTCCAAAGAAACCAAACGCTATTTTAATTACAAAGTGATACAAGATTGCTTGTATCGGGTAAAGCCTTGATGTTTCGACTGCCTTTTATGGTTTATGGAGCAGTAGTAACATTTAAAAATTAATTGTAAAAAAAAACCAAAAATGGAAAAAAAATTTTCGAAAATTTGAAATTTTTTATGAAAAACATCACCCCACACGCCATGTAAAGTGCAAAAGGATAAATTTTGCTCCTTGTAACAAATCATTTATGGCAAATAAGCTTCTTTCAGCCAATATGGAACAATTTCTAAGACGGATTAACTCTCCGCTTACGCGTTACGAGCGCTAATTAAATCGCGCGTTAATTGTCCCAAATTGGCCAAAATGGCAATATTTTACCCCCGTAACTTTACGAAAAATGATTACAGGTGAAATATCTTTTCAAAATTGAGCTCAAGACAACAATACTTTTCAAATGATATAAAAAAGTTTCCATCAAAAATGGCTAGTCAAAAAGTCGCAATTTGTCTGAAGAAAAAAATCCACCCCGAGCACAAATATTTCGTTACTTTCGTATCGAAAGTCGTAACAATAATGTAAGGTTACGTATTAGTTAGAATAAATAGCTTAATTTGTTTTGGAACGATTCCTAAGATGAATTAAACTGCAGGTTATGCTTAAATAGCACGAAAATTTATGCGCGTGAATTGTACCTAATTGGCCAAATTGGCAATCTTTGATACTCTTATAACCTTATGAACATAATCACAGCTGAAATTTTTTTTGGTAAACTTTAAACTTGAGCTTAGAACAACAAATTGTTTGGATGGTATTCAAAAATTCTACTTAAGTGGCTAATTAAAAAGGCAAAATTGGTGAAATTGTTGACAAAAACCACGCCGCGCCGATTTCAAACATACCGTCACTTTCTTCAAAAGTCCGAAATAAAGTTTCAAAAACAATCATTTTTTGTTATATTTGTGACCTTGTTCTTATAGTTGTTAATGCGTACCTTTAGCAATTTGTCTTTCATAATGAAATCAAAACAAAAAACGTTTATTTGTGTAAATAATTTGATTCATCTCGCACTCAAAATATTTCCGAGTGAAATAAAAGACTAACCCTACTTTCTAAGCTCTAAGTGAACTTCAGTAAAATTATATCAATAAGCATGTTTTATTTGTGAAAACTATTTGTGTATGAAATATGCAATTTCTTAGAAACGCACGAAATATATTATTTGGTAAGATAGCAGACATTTTGAATTTTGATGGACTCCAAAGTTTGTTGATTTATGTTTATAATACCTTTTAAATAAGTTTCGAAAACTAAAATGGTTATTTTTTCAACGTTATCTTGTAAAAAACGTCTTATCCCTCCCCGAAATTGGTTTGAAGGGGGATTTACGGTAGAACCGCAAATGGACACCGCAGAGTGGTCTCTTGGGTAGTGAATTCAGTGGGACGACCGAGATTCAGTTAAGTCGGTGGCAACTAATCTGCACGGTATTATTCCCTTCGTCTACTGTTTTTAGGGCTGTCTCGTTTGCTCTCACGTCAGCAAGAAGTTCCAGTTGTAATCAAATTGAGAAAAAATAACTCCAATTACAGAAGGCTCTACGTGGCCAGAATACAAACTAATAACCTAATCAAAGAAAAGGGTCCGCGTCAATCAACACAATTGCCTAGTTGCAATTTAAGTTCCAACTAACTCAACTAAACGATTATCTCTATATATCTCTCTCTCTCTCTCTCTCCCTCTCTCTCTCTAGAGAAGCTTAATTAACGAATTACAAGCAGTAACACAAAATACTCAGTTCTACCTGCTAAAACTAAAAGTATCTCCCAGGATCACTATTCCTTTTAGGCACCTTAACTGATTTCTGTAACGTCACAAATCACTCTTCTCAACTCTTATGAGAACAAACTATTTTCTTCAAAAGCTATCAATGTTCTCTAACTAATAATGAGAACCCAAAAACTCAGTAGTAGCTTATATTCTTTTACTAAGGGTAAGCTACCCGTTACCTTTTCGCTGTTTGTCTATTTGAGTTTCAGTTATAGTTATAGTAAAGATCGTCCCTACAGTCCTGACATTTACTCTGGTACCCTTCTGCAGGGTCTTAACTGAATTGTTCCTCTGTCGACACTAGTTCTATTTTCCAAGTTCATTTAGGTATCTTTAACTAAGTTGTGCAAATATCAAGTCTAATTTCACCAGTCTCAATTAACAAGTCTCCCAAAGTGTTTCATTAATTTTCTCCTTAACGTTCCGACCTCGCGGGCCAGGGGAAGACCCTTTTTATGGCTAGCTAATTTTTTCCAACCATCTATAATTCCAATCTACACTCTATTCGAATCCCGACCTTCTAGCTATTAGGAGAACGTTGTTCGCCTTAAATGGGTCAAATTGTGCCAACAAGTCACCTCCGGGGAGCTAGGTAAATAAGGTCCGTTCATATTTTTTAGGAGATCTACTTCCCATAGCATACTCCTATCACCGTAGGCATCCTCTGGGACTACTTTTATTTAGTCAGATTGAATTACTAATAGTAACTCATTCGCCAAGCTAAGCTGAACCTAATTTTCTCCAAGACCACTTTAGTCAGTTCCACTAATTCAATGTTACAATTTAAAAACTATAGCCCTTTCAGCTTCTCCACCAATTTGAAGACAGGTGATCTAATCCTATTTCCTAAGGGTTGGGAGTAGGGAATACGCCAGTTTCCGGTGTTAATCTCGAGGTTTTGGCCATGAACTCCTAAGAATTACTTAAGGGTCACCCTGCGGTCACACGGGGCCAATCTTCCATACTGGGGTTCAGAATCCAAGAGAGTCCTACATACGAAGTTCCACTCATATCCCATATATACTTCTCTTTTTATCCCATTTCTAAGGTCCATTATCACTTTTACCGGAAAAAGCTATTACCACCGGAAGGAGATGCCGGAAGAGTTTTACTCAGCAGGCGAATTTTTTTTCGAAGATCACATCATGTGTCTATTGCCGCCTTAAAATCAATTTGTCCTCGCTCCTTATTTTGCGAAAATTGCTTATTTCCGGTCTAAGGGGTGTTTTTTCCAAGTGCTAATAACTTCCGGTTCAACAAACCGAGTTGGCTCAAATTATGATAATTGATGTCTCTTGTCACTACCTATCATATCGGAAAATTTTGGCTCCCTGCGTTCAGTGGAACCCGGGAAACGACTTCCGGAAGTCGGGGAGGGACTATTGGCTTAAGGCATAATACCGGAAGGAATATAGGGTCCAGGGGGTCTGGGATTCCAAACTTAAGCTTCCCTCAACTAGGTTTGTAACATGCTAAGTTCTGGTCCCGTTCCAATTGCTAGATACTGAGTTCTGATTTTCACTTCCAGGAACCGTTATCACTTGAGGCAGGGAGGTTCGATAGGTCTAGATTTTGCATGCCAGGGTCAAATCATCTCTATGATCCGTCCTGTGAGTTTCATAATCAGCTTCTATTCGGGGGTTATCAAATCTTACTTCACTTCAGCTATAGGAGGGATTAATTCTTCCAAGGTTTGAGCAGTTTTCAGGTTGTTCATTTGCGTGCCTTTCTAGTTATCATATTGGTTAATCAATATCCGGCTACGTAGTACTCATTAACCTTCACTATGTTGCAGTATTTCTCAAGGTGAAACTCTCAATCGAAATCTAGTTTTAATGAAAGCGTGCATGTAAACCACTTATTTGTTCAAAATGTGATTGATTTTACAAGACCAAAGTATTAAGTTGTTACTTACCCAGAGATGTCTAGTATCTGTTTACTTCTCACATTTTGCAGCTGCGACGGGTTTTGACCCCGATACTCGAAGCTGACCCAGCTTGGAATTTGGAATCGGGTATCCTCGAGATCGATCTGGGATCTTCCGTTATTATCTGCGATAGTGCTGCAAGTTCCTCCTTTGCCAATAGCTGTAGTAAATCAAATGTAGATGAATTACTTGGAATATATATAAAAAAAAATTGTATACTATTTTTTATTCAGTTTGATTTTTTCCTATAAAACCAAAAGAAAATTAATTTAGTTGAGTATACAAAATTGAAAACCAACAACTTCTTATAAACTACTCTCAAGTTAGACCACTGGTATTGTGGATTTAAGCTCGAGTTATTACGGTTCATAAAACAGAGCAGACAACTAATACGGACACCACAACAAATGATCTTTGCCAATTTGCACCATATGGATAATTGTTTCGTATGTCAATCAGCATTTTTAGCTGGAGTTGTTTAATGATATTTTTGATTTGAATCCTGACGACACGACCTTCTTCTTGAAAAATTGAACCTCTATTTTACATCTGAAAAAGAAACAAGGCTGCGCGTATTCGGCCGAGGCTCTGAATGTTTCGACTGCCCTGCACTTTCTATGAAGTTGTGTTCCGTTAAAAAAATGTGTTAAGAAAATAAACCCCCTACACGCTATTAAAAGTATGAAGAGATAAAGTTAGCATAAAGTAACGTTTTAATTGAAACACCTAGCATGCATCTATTCGCCAGGCAAAAAAGCCGCTCCGGAGTTTATAGAACGTTGTATATTGCACGTTAATTCTCCCAAATTCGTGGACATCTTCCAAACCCTGAAAACACCCCAACACAAAAATTCCGCCAATTTGTTCGAAATGTGGATCTAAAATACAATTTATTTTTGTTTTGGAGGCGTTTCAAAGCAAATTTAGATTTTGTAGACAAACTTTTTTTGATTTTCGAAGAAAGTGACGGAGTAATTATGATCGCGTTGGTTTTTTTCTCTTGACTAATTTCAAACTTTCAACCGGCCATTCTAACGAGGTTTTTTTATATGATCCAAAAACTAGTGTTGTCTTGAGCTGAACTTAAAAACTTTTTCTTCTCTTGATCTTTTTTGCAATTTTTTACACCCTAAATGGGTTGTAATTAATTTTTTTTGTCTCGGGAATCTGTTATAATCGAATTAAATCATGGGCAATCTTTACCGCACATACAACGTTTCACTGTGACACGATTAATTAGAAGAAAATTGAAGGTAGTGTATCGTGTTCCGAATCCTAAAGGGTGTCCTTCATTTAGGGGTCCTCATGTAAAGCAAAATACAAGGAGAACGATCCTTAATTTTTTTGAAGGTCTGCTATCCTAGGGTTTTCTAAATGAACGTATGTTTCAACTCCTAAAATAAAAGACCCCCTCCTTAGAAGCTTCTCAAACCAAACAAAGTTTATGTTTGTCTCAAATACGTTTCAGATTTTCCCACTTTTTAATTGTAAGCAATTCCTCCACACGAGAGTAGTATATGAGTGAGCTGATCAGGGGGGGGGGGGGGGTGGTTGGAGACCCCCATGTTTTAAGATAGGGAATAGAGTATCCGGTCTCCAAGCTATGTATTAAGATAGGGAATAGATTTCCAATGTATTAAGGTAGGGAATAGGTTTCCCATGTATTAAGATGGTAGGTTTCAGATGGTAAGTTTCAGAAAAATTTTTGGCGCCCAATCTTACCATTTTTTAAGATTCTCTACACCAATGCGATAGGTTTTAGATTTTTTCATTGTATTCAGTTATGATTTTTATTTTGTTTTAAACCATTAGAGTTTAAATGGAAAGTGTCTGAAGCTATGCTGAAACCTAACTGAAGCTTCAAAGAAGAAATAAAGTTTTTCAGAAAAAAATTAAATTACTGTAAATTGTAATATTACAGCTGAAAAATTGAATAACATATAAATCATAGTATGGTATGAAGTTTTACTACAGTTTATAGGTTAAACTTACAAATTCAATGGCTTAGTATGTATTCCATCATCAAGTACCTCCCTTTTCGGGTAAAAGTAACTGAGTCCTTTTTTAGTTTGTTCATATGTTCCAACTAAATGGTTGGAGGTTTTGAATCCGCGATTGGTCGACTTCAAATTTACAGCTTCGTCAAGAACTCGTCTGCATTTAGACATTGGTCCATCCCCAGTGTCTTCTAGCGTTCTTTTGTTGAGCCCTTTGCTGCTAAATTTGAATTTGTCGCTCTTACTATCATAGCAGCAATACGTCTTGCTGCACAGGAATAACATTTCAGTACAGCGAAATTCTTTTTTGAATAATCCAGGTTCTCGTTTGTCATGTTTTTTGTGAACAGCGCAGCATGTACGTGGAAAAAAATTCTTATCTGCATCAGCTATAAAGTCATTTCTACAATCATTTCGACGAATAAGTGTCCTTTGAGCTTTCTTCTCTGGTAATATACAATCGTCCAGGTTATTTTCTGCTAATGCTAGATACAAAGAGTCCGTATCCATCTCCAACTCCTCGAATTTATTCTCATCGCAATACTTGTGGAAGTAGTTGTATTATAACTCCAACATTCTAAGTTTGGCGTATTGAAGAATGAAAAAACCTACAATAATTGGTTCTCTATGTTCAATTGTTGACTTCAATAGTTCTACTTCATATAAGTCCTTTTTCACAACATTCAATCGCTTGAAAAACTTCTCATTTATTGCTTTGTGTGTCTTCTCATCGCCGAGATATTTGGTTATCGTGTGTCTGGATCTGTCCATAATTTGATAACCGTACGAACTGTTACCGAGAAGCTTCATCATCTCAGCAACAACTCCAGAATGTGGATTCTCGTCTCCTTCTCGTCGAGCATCAACAACAGATTGAACAAATTTGTTGAAACATTTCCTAGGTGTGTACTCAACAAATCGATAAATTTTTGTACATTGAAGTCCAAGACTTAGATAGAAGTTAAGAAGAGGTGTGATGATTGTACCATTTTCTAATTTAAAACTGGAAATCAACATTCGTTGTGGGTTTTTCAGCAAATCGTTTTCTTCGGCATAGTTTTTCATGTATTCTCCAATATCGTTTCGGGAGACGTCAATGTTTTTGAATATTGGAGGAAAATTTGAAAATGTAGGCTTCAACTCGTCAGGAACTATTAAGACGCATTGCACATAACCAAAAAGAGATCTGTTCTTTATTTTTTCAAGTAAAGAATCAGTAGACAGAGGTCTTTTGTAAGGAAAATTTGTCTTGACATGATTCTTGATTGACGAATCTGTTTTGAAATGCTTCCACCACTCACATTCCCACATTTCCTGAATTGCGAACCTCTTTCTTTTATGTACTCTCGTCTCAACTCATCCATTTCTCGCTTCTTATTTCCCCTTTCAATATCTTGTTCTGACAACGATGGACGGGTTTCTTGACATGAGCAGAAATGATAGTAGCAACCCATAGCTTCAAATACTGTTTTACAGTGATCACAGTAACCATCAACATGAAAACAGTCAATTTTTTTCTGCTTTCCGGTTGTGTAAAAACTCTGAATTTTACACTCTGGTCTCAATTCTTGATAAAAAGACATAACCATGTTCTCGAAATTTCTTGTTCTGTTATTTCTAGCTTTAAAACGATCAGTTTCAGAGTCATACTCCCATCTTGTGTAAAGTCCGGTTGGCATCTCTTGACACATTGAGAATGGATATAAGTGGCTAGCGTCAATTCCAACAATTGTCTTACAAATATTTGACGAGTTACGAATATAAGTTTGATCGACAACAGCTTTTCGCGTAAAAACTATTGATGGACCACCAGTGATGTCTTCTCTAATTTTCTCACATAAATCTTTATCTCCTTCAAAGAACGGGTAAAATTTGTGATTTGTCAACTTGTGTAAGCAGATATTTGCAAGATTTGGAAGCGTGCATCCCAGTTTCAGCATGTCAATTCCCTTATCATGGTAAAACTCTATCATTTTTTGCATAGCTTCAAGAGTAGGAACAACATCTTTGTTGTTGTACCATCGTAAGAAGTCTTTGAAAGTAATCATGCTTTGTTGTTCCCAGATGTTTTTCAAATACGAGAAATTTTCAAAACCTGTTGGTGGAGTTGATTGAATACGCAACTTTTTCAGCGCACTTTGTTGATCAAGTCCTCCATTAACCAGTTTTTGGTAATCGTTGAAATCTTTCTCGAGAGGGTTGTGGTTTCTCAGTTTGCTGGAAAAGGTTTCATATGGAGGCAACTCCGTACAGTCAAGCTTGTCTGGACTGTCAAACCATTCGTAAGGGAAAAAACCTTTGGTTTCACTTACTTTATTGGCTTTCAGAAACGAATCCAATGTGGTTGCACCTCCAAGAAATTTCATTATGTCCAAAAACTGAACATCTCCAAATTTGAATGATATGAAATCATTTGCTTTTTTAATGACTGTTGGTTCGATTTCTTTATCACATATAAGGTATGGAATCAAATAAGATTTGATAAGGTTCAGATCGTATCTGCCGCTATTGAAACCGAACACCGGTAAGGTATTAACATAGCGCTCTAAATGCTGTTTCAAGTCGATCAACTGATTTTTTTGAATTCTCAAGAATTGTGTCGACATGTCATCTTCGTCGCCATCCTCAACACATTCATTTTCATAATCGAAGACTTTTAGTCTTTTAGTTAAAGTTCTAGCATTAAGTTTAGCAAAGATCTTTTTGACTCGATCATTGACAGTGTTTTCGATTTCTTGTAATTTGGTTCTCATTTGTAGTTTACTTTTTTCAGCCAGAAGTTCCAAGCTGGAAACAAAAGCAATTATTAGAAGTTCTGGATCTTTTTCACACGAGAAAATTGGAGCATCTTGCAGATTTGAAGATATTGAGACGGAAATAGGGACATATTTTCCAATCCAAGTAGTTGTTTCAGTTGCTTTCAATTCTTCTGTGGGAACACAAATCGATTCGAAGTCAAGTATTGCTAAACAATTTCTGATCTTCAGTGTACGGATTGTTGAAGCCATCCAATTTCTCGAATATTGTTTCCCGTAGTGTGTACGCAGTTTTGGGAAAAATATGTCGCACTTGATCTTTACAAGTTAGAAGATTTCGGTTGAAATTGTTTGATCTGTTGAAGAAACAGTCACAGCTAAGGACATCGAAAACACTTGAAGAAGGA